CACCAGGGCAGTGTAGAGGGGAAGGAGAACCTCCCTTGTCCTGCTGGCCACACTCTTCTTGATGCACCCCAGGATCCCATTGGCTTTCTTGGCAGCCAGGGCACACTGCTGGCTACTCCTAAGGTCTTAAGAAAGCTGATGACTTGCTACCTTGATGAAAACCTCTTTTGTGGGGTTTTTTTTTAAATGAAATTATTATGTTCTGTTTTTGAAACAGTTCAGACAAATGTAATAACTTAATATTGAAATCCTTATATGATGCATTGAAGATTGCAACTGTACATAGTCACTTGCTGAAAATATTTTTATGGTACCTTTGTTATGAAAATAATTCTTTCTTATTAATCTTTCTACAGAGCATCTAAAATCTGCGAGATTCTTCAGAAACATCTACACCCTGCTGGTGTCCTACTGTTGCAGAAGTTGCAGTTTACTATTTTGAATGTTCTTAAAGTCTTTTCAGGTTGGTTACCACAGCAGTGACTGTATGGGTCACCATACACATTAGTACTATAATGTTAAGGCTTTATTCTGAGTAACCTTTTGCAAAAATTAGTTAATTTGGGTGACACCAAGCAAGGCAAGTGTACTGCTGCCTGGAAATTAAACCGTCAGAGGCACGGGAAAAATTTTGATGCAGATCGTGTAAAGGGATGATTTCTTTCCGGAGTGGTCATGTTGATTCAAAATCTCAGTGGAAGCAGCAGGTCTCCTCTCATTTTTAGTCGTACGCTCTTTACCTTCCTCCTGGGCTTACTCTCGTGCATCAGGACCTCCTTCTTTTTTGATATGACTCACAAACCTAGCAGAAGACTGTATACACATTCAGGTTTCATCTTATCTTTTTTGCTGCATATTTTTTACCAGGCTCGTGAAATGAGTCAATTCACAGAGGTTTTTTTGATGAGCCAGAGTTGGCACAAGGCAGTATCTAACTGACAGGAAGAAAAAATGGGGCAAGTATATAAAGGAAGTGGCACCTCCCACTTCTGGGTGTGTTGAGCCAGTACATTGCCTAACAGTAGCTGAATAACTTCATCTTCAATAAACTGTTCAAATTTTGATGTGTTAGGCTTGTTTTATTCCTTGTATATAGGCCCCCAAGATGAACACTTTCAGAAAGGCCCTGTATTGACTTAAGGGTGTAATTTCATATTGTATTTTCTTTGGGAAAACCAAAGCCTTTGCTTTTCAAACTTTGTCTTTTAAACCAGCTATGCCCAGAATTTTTTGCCAAGGGCAAGGAGGCATTAACCTGTCATTCTAGAGCAAGGGATGAGATCGGTAATGTCTTATGCCAAATTAATTTCTGAACAAAACATAGTATGTGATTACAACCCAATTCTGACTATCTTTTCCACTCTCCTGTGACTGATGTTGTTCTCAAAGAATAAAATTGTAACAAAGTTGAGCTCAGAATGAGCGATAATGAAAATGTGTGCCAGGTACCTGGGATCTGTCTTTGACCTCTGAAGAATACTGTCTGGTTGAGAGAACTGAGATTGAGGAACTAAATTTTTGTTGTTCTTATTTCATACTCTGGTCATAGGGATGTTTCATAATGTTTCATCTGATGCAGACAACATTAAGAAACCTAATGAGAAGAGGTGAAAATTGCTTGACTTGGTTTGCATTACTGAGTTGCATTGTATCACTTCTGTGAGCAAGATCAAGGTTTCCTTGTTTTGGAAGCAGTGGTGAATGTTTGTTATTCTTCCTTCTTGACATATGAACCAAATATAAGGAAAAAAACATGAAGAGAAAATACAAACCAAATCCTTCCATAAACCAATAATTCAACTGTCAAACCAAACTCCTTCCCTACTATCCCATGTATAAACCCATTACAGGCAGGGGAATGGAGTTTTTTTTCCAGCAACATGGGGGCCGCAAACTTGGGTAGAAACTTCCCCCATGCATGATCAGGTGATAAATATCCGCTATCTGGATTCATTACCCCTAGATATACAAAATGTCTATGTAATGCTGTTTCCCTCCCCTTGCAGCTAAGGTCTGAAAGTTACTACTCACTCGAGGGTTAGTAGCATCCTCTTGTCTCCCTGGGGAAATAGGATCAGGGCAGCCTGCCCAAGGAGGAGGTAGATGTGATTGGTATACACAGCTTCTCAGAGTTATGCTTCTTGCTAACAAAGAGCAAAAATAAAGTTTTCTTTTTGGGTTCTGTAGGATATATTTCTGTTCTTATTACAGAATCACAGAATCACAGAATAGTAGGGGTTGAAAGGGACCTCTGTGGGTCATCTAGTCCAAACCTCCTGCTGTTGCCCCTTGTCCTGTCACTGGGCACCACTGAAAAGAGCTTGGCCCCATCCTCCTGACACCCACCCTTCAGATATTTGTAGGCATTTATAAGGTCCCCTCGCAGCCTTCTCTTCTTCAGGCTGAACAAGCCCAGTTCCCTCAACCTCTCCTCGTAGTGGAGATGCTCCAGTCCCCTCACCATCCTTGTAGCCCTCCGCTGGACTCTCTCCAGTAGCTCTTCATCCTTCTTGAACTGGGGAGCCCAGAACTGGACACAGTACTCCAGATGAGGCCTCACTAGGGCAGTGTAGAGGGGAAGGAGAACCTCCCTTGTCCTGCTGGCCACACTCTTCTTGATGCATCCCAGGATCCCATTGGCTTTCTTGGCAGCCAGGGCACACTGCTGGCTCATGGTTAACCTGTCGTCCACCAGGACACCCAGGTCCCTCTCTGCTCTCCAGCAGGTCCACCCCAAGCCTGTACTGGTGCATGAGGTTGTTCCTCCCCAGGTGCAGGACCCTGCACTTGCCCTTGTTGAACCTCATCAGGTTCCTCTCTGCCCAGCTTTCCAGCCTATCCAGGTCACGCTGAATGGCAGCACAGCCTTCTGGTGTATCTACCACACCTCCCAGTTTGGTGTCGTCAGCAAACTTGCTGAGGGTACATTCTAACTCTTCATCCAGGTCGTTGATGAAGAAGTTAAACAAGACTGGGCCCAGTACTGACCCCTGGGGGACACCACTAGTTACCAGCCTCCAACTAGACTCAGCGCCACTGATGACAACCCTCTGAGTTCTGCCATTCAGCCATTTATCTATCCACTTCACCGACCACTCATCCAGCCCATACTTCCTGATCTTCCCTAGGAGGATATCATGGGAGACTGTGTCGAAAGCCTTGCTGAAGTCGATTTGATCAGGAAAGTGTAATGGAGAAGAGTAATGGAAATTGAATCAAACTAGCCCTTCTTGCTCTCTGCGATGATAAATGAACTTAGCCAGAAATATTTCTCAGTCCCTTAATCTAGCAGACTACCTCTGCATTTAAAACCTTTTCTGTCCCTTATTGTTTTGTTAATTTTTCATCTGATTACAGTAACTTATTCAGTTTTTTTAGCTGATTAAACCTGGACATTTTCTCTTACAGAAGAACCAGCTGTCATTGGCAAGCTTTTTTGTGTTGTTACAAAGTGTCAAGATGGATTAATGAGTCACTTATTCCTCTCTGTCATTGAAGGAATCACTCTGGTTCGAGATCGTTATCAGGTTAGAGTGGTTTCCACACCTACAAGTGTTCTTTACAACATGCATTAAACTTTGGAAACTAATGTGAATGTGGTCTTTTTTTTCCTACTGTCTGAATGTATCCACAGTGGCTATACAAAGCTGAAGTTTATATGGGTGTAGCTCTGATGCTCTTGATAGTGATACCCAGAAGGAATTCCTTAAGTAAACATTGGTGAGATTTGAAAGTTGTAAATATAGCCAGAACTACTAGAATTCCTATAAGCAGGATAACTAGATTGCAATTCAATATCAAACAGCAGCCTTTTTAAAATTCCTTTAAATTTTGTGATACTGCTAATTTCATGAAACACAGTACTTTTAAATCTTCATAGGAACAACTGTGAAATCAAGCTAGATACAAATAAACTTCTTGGCCAGAGTCATTCAAGCTAAAATAGCAATTATCATTACCAGTTGAGGTCAGCCTGTTTTTCTTTAACAGTGCATGAAACTACCAGTGGGAGAGAGTAACATTTGGCATTTAGAGACTCATTTAGAGCTGGAAGCAGGCCTTTGGATAGTGCGCACATGTGTGCACATACAGATGAAACAAAACATCATGCTTTTATTATAGAATTTGCCGCCTCTTTACGAAATAGCTCTGCTAGTTTGTCTATCTGGACATTTTGCTGGTATGAACAGCAATGTTTTAAGGTAAACAGAGGCCAGAGGCATCGCTCATATCTCAGATTCTTGCAGAACAAGTGCATTTTCGTAGCCACCACCATTCTATGACCTATTTCTGCAAATATTAAAATAACTTACAAAATAAGAAATGTGAATATTCAGGAGAAAATATAAAAGTGAATATTACACAAAGCACAATGCAAGAAAAATTTATGATATGGGTATCCAGATATTTTTATATGCTCTTTGCAAACTGATGTTTGGAACAATTTTTTTTGAAAAATGTAAAAATGGTCAGCCTAAAATTTTTTTTAAAAAAAGAAGATCATTTCATTTTGAAATTAAATTTCAAATGAAAATGTTGGCATCTCTGTTAATGGAAGAGTCTCTTTGATAGGCTAGGTCAAGTTCACAAATATTTTTGGTTTTGTCCAAAACTCAAATCTTTGAAAATTCCTTTGTTCTTGAAAACCTCTTACACAGTTTCAATTACAAATATAATGGGCATAAAAGCATTACCTGAGCCACATTGTCATTTGAAAATATGCATCATCTAGTTGCCAAGACATGCTACTTCAAGCAATAACATAATCTCATGAACTTGCTAACCATATGATCATTATGTTTCGCAGGATATTGAAAGAATGTGGTCTGCTTTCAACAAGGAGAAGTGTGTGAGTATGGCATTTATAAATCAAAAACTTCCCAATACTTTGGAGAGCTTCCTGAGAGCCTTGCAGAATACCAGCAATGACAGCTGTGAATGTGAACTAATGTCGGGGAACATACAGAGACGACTGCAAATGTAAAGCCTTTTACATTTTGGTACCCCAAATGGTTCTTGTTAAAGATGTTACGTTGTGCGTATGGCTGGTTATGTAATTACAGGAGAAATACTGTTTATCAAAGTCTCTTTAAGCTTAGTTCATTTAACTGAAAACTGAGTGGATACAAGGCACAAATTATCTAAGTAATGTTCAAAATTCTGGATATTTCTAAAATCCCTTACACTTTTGCTGAGAACTTGTAGCAGATCCACAAGGAGAATGCTTTGAATTGCGACTAAGAAAAATTTTCAATTTTCCATTACCTCAGTTAGGTCAAAATTTTTATATCTTAGTTTTTATCTAAAGCTGTTTTACTGTGGCCTTGTCCTGTCAACAGCTGGATATTTTTTGCAAAACAGTGAACATTCAGATGAGTTCAGCAGTTCAAACAGTCAGAAAGACAGGATGGTGCTTGTAACTGATGGGTTTGAACTCAAAATAATTTTAGATATGCTCTATTCCCTTGAGAAAAAATAGGAGATTTTTAACTAAATGAATAAAACTGCTACTACAGTGTATTTCAATCTTGCTGTCAGAAGTCATCCTTCTTATAATTGTTGCTATACTGATTTGACTGTTGGATTGTTTTCGTAATGGGCTTGAATAGTCTTTGTCAATTATAGTAGTACAGAAGAACTTGAGCTTAGATGCTGGTCTTATGGACCACAGACTCGTGTCCAGTTTTTGAATGGTAAATGATATCTGATGTGTGTATACTCTTTACTACTTAAATTGCAATTAGATAAACATCATTTATCCTGAAATGCAGGATAAAACTCTCGGTTTAAAAAAATCTGTGTTCAGTAAGAAACATGGAAGTGAGACATTGCTAGATCTGTGCTTATCCACCAGCTACTCTTTGTTAGAGCACTTACGTATCATGGGAAGTTCTCTACATTTTCCATCTCATTTAGGCTTGAAATATGATGATCATTGCACCATAGAAGTATAGCGTGAGAAGGTCTGTGGAGCTGCTTACTGCATGCACAGTGTGTGCATATAGAGCAAATGTGACCTTTTTGCGTCATTTAGCGGCTATTTCACTATTCATGTTACTCTTTATACATAGTGATGTCAATGACTGAGTTCTGATAACTTGTGAAACTAAGGCTATCATTTCAGGATGGATGAAAATTTGGAGCTACACTTGTCAGAAAATCCAGCGGCAACTTTTCTCAGCAATTTTAATCTTTTGAATGGTGGCTTCCAGTTTTCTCTACTTTTTTACAAGCCACTACTGCGTAATTTTGCAGGACAACTTTTTCATTGTTCTTCAGACTTTAAAGGGCTACAGCTTATGAAGATTACTGACTTAAGGAAATATATTTTCATTGTACACACGTGCACACACATGCACTTGAGCTGGCACAGAGCAGCATAGTTTACCTTGTCAGAGCCTGTCCGAAAAGATGCAGGGATTCCTTAAAAAGAAAAGGGGACTTAAGTTAGTGGAAGAATAAAATCTTAAAGGGCTAAAGGCTGCTTCACTAATTTCAGATGTTGTCATAATACAGGGAGGTGGGATAACCTGTGCTCTTACAGGATAATGCAAACAGATGCACAAGACTTTCAGTCTGCCAGGAGAGTGACCCTTACATTTGAAGTAGTGAATTACACAATATGAAGTTTTTGTGTCCTTTATCATCCCTCAGAATAAAAGGTAATGAAAAGGATACAGTCTATGGGTAATTTTATTAAGCATACAGTAGTACTGATGGCACTACTTCTCTTCCAGGTGTGAAAGTCAAAGAGTGTGTGCAGAATCTTACTCAGCTGAGGCTGGACATGGGTTCTTCTGTCAATATTTCTGAAGAAACTATCAGTACCATCCTGGAAGCCAGTATCTCTCATTCAGAGGTAAAAGATTGAAGAAAGGTGTTAAATTAAAGGGTCAACCTATAGCCTGATGTGGTGACCAAAACAAAATAAACCCACTTGTTTGTGTGGAATCTTATATCTTTCGCTTGTCACTTCTATGTGGAATATTTTGTGAGATTTAGGACTTCAAATAATAATGCGAAACATTAAGAGACCAATTTATAGTAGCACTAGTCTGCTGGTCTTAATTGGTACCATTTCATTACCTTCAGCAGTGTTACCCACTTGTGCTGACACAGAGTTTTAGCTTTGCTATCTTGGTAGTGTAGAAAAGGTGAGGGTTCCCAGTGAAATAATTTTGTGTCTTCCCACCTCTGACCCTTGCAGTACGGAGCAGTCTGATTTTTTTTTTCTTAATTTTTTTTTCATTCCTTCATGTGCTCTTCATTGTTCTTACCTTATCTTACCAGTATCTTGCATTATCTCCTCTTTATTTATTGGTTGTCTCTTGAGTATTGTCTAAAGGGGGGGATTGTGTAAGTTTTCTCAGTGAAGGACAACCTAACTTACAGGTTCCCTCTCCTATTAATATGTATATGACTTAAAAGAGTTGGACGTACCTTTGGTATAAAACGATAAAGTCAGTCAAGAAACCACTGGGTGTCTCTGATGCTCCACTTGCAGAAAGAGTTGCAAGGTTTTTTCCTGAAAAGTGGCTGTTAAAAAGGCAGTTCAGACCATCATAACTACTTAGAAATGACTTGGTTTTCTGCTGCTTTGGCAGTATAACTGCCTTTATTGTTAGCTTGTTATTTTGATACCAGTAAATGGTAATGAGAGAAGACATCTGGAAGCAATTCAGTTAAATGGGATTCAGTGCACCTTTGATCTTTTGGAATAATAATGCTAATTGACTGAATTTTCAAATGACTTTCCTTATTTTTTGCCAAAGTCCAGTATAGAGTTTGGATATATGTACATATCTCTCATTTACATATCTATACAAAATTTATTGTTTGGTTTTAAATTTATTGTTTGCTATTAAATCCTCCCTCAGTCCAACTGGAGCATTAAAGCCGATCTCTCTTACTGATTATGCAAGATGCACAAGTGTGTTTGTTAAGCTATAATTTAGGCATGCCCATTATGTTTATTGTATATATAGCCACTATCTAATAACCCTAATGATAGCTGCAGGCCCACTGCAGTCCTATATTTCTGTGATTGTATACTACTACTGTGCTTGGCTCCTGGGCCATGCTCATTGCCATGTGATTAAGTGTTTTGAAACTAATAAAAACCTGTAACCTGAAGAGTATAAGCATTCCTTTACTGAACATCGGAGTTTAGATTAGGTCTTGTACTCACAAAGCTGCAAGGGAAGTTCAGAGGGACTGAATCTAGTGAATAAAATACTGAATGGGTTAAAACTGGACTGAAATGGTGATATTCATGCAGGGCATGAGGAAATAAATTTCAAATTGCAGCACAGAGTCAAATTTCCTCCACAGCGAGAAGTCCAAATCAGTATCCTTTTATGCTGCTAGCAGAATTCTATTTATATTCATATTCTGTTCCTCACGCCTGCACAAAAAAGTGAATATTTAAATATATATATATCCTTGGAATCACAAAGGCTAAATTCTCTTCCAGAATAAAAATCTAGAAGTCAAATTAATAAGTTGGAAATTGAAATGCTCTTAGGAATTAAGACCTTAAATTGCATATCTTGACCAGCTTTGGCTCCTAATTTGATTGTCTTGGGAATCCTCTCACTCACTTGAATACTGTCAGTAGCTACAGATGCATTCAGTGGAGGCAGTACAGGCATTTCTGTCCTAAGGCTTACAGTGGAGACTGGAGTACTGTACTATGGCTCCTACAGTCTCCAAACTTGTAATTTTTCCAGACTTGCTACCATTTGCTTTCTTTCAGGCATTTCAGGAGAAAGGGTAGCTAAGAACTCCTGAGATATCTGGGCTGCAAGCATTTGTCTTTTGATGTGATATTTTTGTAGGAAGAAATAAACCATCATTATCCAATGAGTTTTTATTGTAGTCTCACCCAAGGTCTACTTAGATATTTGTCCCTTCATCTGCTTTTAAATAATAACTTCAAAAGTCTATTGAAAGAAGTAAGCTGGCTCAGAGTGAACATTGTGCCATATAGGCATGCCTATGTTTGAAATTTGTGTGTCCTCTGAAAGAAGGAAGATCTATATTGTTTGATTTTAGTGATCCATATATATAGATTTTGATCTTTAGGTGTTTCTGCAACAGAGGCGTGTATCTGTTACAATGGGTATGTTAAGCATTGTAAATATGCCTGCTTATGGTATGAATGACTGAGCTGTTCACAAAAGAAAGTAAATCTTTGATAAATATATTTAATCTCTTTATATGTATGTAGAATGTAAAGTAAGGACATAAAAATCTGATATAGAGCTGTATAGTTCATTACTTCAGATCTGTTGATGACTGCAAATTTTCATGTTACTGTGACACAAATTCTCTCAATAGACTATAAAAGAAGGTGATACATTTCAGGGAGAAAGATTTTTAATACACATATGTTATGATAGGTTTTTTACAGTGCCTTTGTGGTAGCTTTAACTGGAAGATGTGATGAAGAAGTACTTAGCCTGCTGCTAAAGCTACCTGAAAACAGTAAAACTTCACTGATAGTAGAAGAATTATGTTCTTTACCAGCACTGGACTTGTATACTATGTTTGTACTGATTATACAGAATTTGAACTTACGTCATATCATTTACAAGGTAAGATGGGGAAAAAAAAAGCATTCCGTTCCTATGTTTTTCTTTTGAAAGTGGTCTAAACCATGCAGGTAGATAGAGTAATAATTCTATTATTTCTTCAAATGTTCTTTCTGTGTGGAAGCAAACACTGGATATATGGCATTTTTTGTCTTTATTTAACTTCACAACCGTTGAAGAATGGCATTAGTAGATGTTACTGTATTCCACTTCTTGCTTTTTCAGGAAAATTATCACTGGGGAGTTAATTATGAAAGCTTTAGAGAAAATATAGGAGGCTGAAGAAGTAGTTTTATTAATCTTTAGCAGAGTTTGCAGTTCATACAATTAGTCACTTCTTAATTTGTAATTGGGGAAGACTGATCTAGTATCATTGGAACCAAAAAAACAGGAGTTCACACTACAAGAATTACAAAATTATTTTCTAGGAAAAATTCACAGCACTCTGAAGTGCATTTTATTTGCTGTAGAAATCGTGTTGGCGATTTAGGTGGCTACTTCAGGAAGGAGCTTTTTCCGACTCTCAGGAAGAGTCTTGCTATAAGGGCAAACCTCCTATATTTTATACGACCCAAGTCAAATGAATTTGACAAGAATAATACAATACCACAACTATAATAAAGGAGATGTAGAATTCTGTAGCAAAACTGTATTATCTGTACAGCTGTAGATAATCTAGGATCTACTGTGGGTTTTCAGTGAGATAATATTTTTACTTGTAGGAGCAAGATTATTGGATGTGATTTGTGATAGTTAGCAGACATTTATTTCAGTTCTTTTGGGGTAACTGACTGATAGAGCATAAAATGCTGTAAGTATAAATAGTTGAAAAATAGTTATAATGTTGGGAGGAAGAATATTTTGTCCTAAGGTCATAGATGCTGGGTTATATTCTGGAAGCTGCATGTACAGTTAAACAGGTTGGCCACACACCACAAGAAAATTTCCCAGAATAGATTAAGATACCAGAGCATAAAGGGGAAGATTTATGCTTTCTGAATTATCTGCCAAGCTAGAGGGAGAGAAAAAATGAAAAGAAAGACCCAGTGTTTATTCTGAGGGGTTTTTCTACTGGACTCTTCTGAAGCATAATGAATTCTTGCAAAGAATAAAAAATGTTATCAGCTCATCCTAAAATATTATGGAAGTTTTACTGAATTTTTAACTGAATAAGATTATTTTTTACACTTTCTCTTTTTTTTTTAATGTGTAAAAGCAGGTAAAGTTTAAGAACAAAATTAAGCACAGACAATACGTAGGAATCAAATAATGGTGGATAAAATAAAGATAATCAGAGAAAGCAGCTGAAAGTATACAATGAGATTATGTTGTTGTAGTTATAATGCATAGGCAGGTAACAATGAATCAGTTTGTATTACCATATAATCTAAATAACCTATAAAAGCAAAGGAAATAGAGAGAAAATTCATAATGCCAAAACTTGTGTGGTGGAAACAGCTAAGAGCCAGTCGAGTTTTAGTCAAGTAGGGAATGAAATGCACACAATTATTTTAGGTAAAAGGTAATGAGTACGAAAAATGCAAAGGGAGGAACAGTGTGACAGGAAAGTTTGTTGTCTGACATGCTTCCTAATGGAACCAAAGTGGCTGCTAGATTTAATTTAACTTATGAATTATTTTAAAAATATTAAACTGTTGCATTGAGCATCTTCAACCTGTTGAAGCAAAAGTTCTCATTTACACTGAATTCCAAGGGGGCAGAATGTTGTAGATCCCATTGACATCTTGGGTAGGGAGCTCTTTTCATCTTGGTAGGTGTAAACATGTTCACCAGATTTAAATTCTGGATTTGTAACAGGCCAGTTCTAACGCAACCAGAGAACTTTTCTTTAGCTGAATTTGACAGTAACTGGGGAGTTATACTAAAAGGAGTTTTGTTAAACATGGTTTGCAGGAACATTGTATAATCCTTTTCAGAAAAAGACCGAATAATTTTGATTCTTTGAAAAGTTAAGACTGGAATTCATTGTTGTGATTTTTCCTTCCTTTCCAAGGTTAAGATACCATCTGAGATAAGCAATGTACTAAACATGCTACTAGACGTGGTTTCTAGTATCAGCTCTCTTCTCAATAAAGCCCACCACGTCATGGAAAACCTTCCAGTGTTCCTCCAAGGAATTCAAAATATTGACGTGCTTGACATCTCTGCATTGCAGCAAGTATGTGTATGATTTCAATATGCAAAATTAATTCGCATCTTGCAGTGTTTTGTTAGGGATGTGTGCTCAGTAAGGGAGGAACACTAATAGAAATTGTGTCCCAGAAAGTTGGGAACTTAGAGAGGAGAGTCCATAGACCCTAGGAAGACTTATCTGGTCTCTTTCAAGCACTCTGGTAATTTTGAGACTACCATTGTATTGTTTCAGTCATCTGTTTTTTCATTAACTTATGAGATCATAGCCTAAGTTAATATGGTGTTAGGCTGAGGATTAAAAATAGCATCTATTATCTGTGATTTGGAAATAGCCATGCCTTTTATGCTAATGCTGTCTGAGCATTGATACAGCTAGCACAGTGGTGGAGACCTAGTATTAAATAAATCAGAAAAAAGATTCCTGTTTCTAAGCAGGGTCCAGTTTCGTAAGAAGACATGCTGACCCCTGTGGCATTACCTTCTGGATTTTCTAGTCTGTGTGGAAAGTTTAGGATTTAATCTGGTTCTAAAATTGCAAACCTGTAGAAGGTCCCCCAGTGGTAAACTGTGCAAACCGGTTTGTGACTACAGTACAGAGTAAATATGGTTTAAATACTGTTTTCCCTGGTGATATGAGTCTTTCTCAAGATCTTATAATGTATGTGACAAAGAGGCACTTTGTAAAATGCTGTTCTGTGCATATCCGTTTTGGTTTTGAGCCTCTATTCTTTGGGGTAGCTCTTTGGCTGCCACAATGAAAGGTGGCTTTCACCCGATGTTTGCACCTTTTCTGCTTTCCTTAGTCTGACACAAACAGAATTAGTTTTTCCTTCAAATAAATGAAGTTTCTTTTTGGAGTGAAATCCCAAAGCTGATTGTTTCATATAAGAACCTCTCAACAGATCCTGCCGAAAAAAATTTTGCAAAGGAACAAATGGAACAGCAGAGGGCCATCTGGTCACGGTTTTAATCTTTGTTCCACGGCAACCCATATTGTCCGGTAATATAGTACATACTTAAACTCAGGATTTTTGTTCCTTTTTGTATCTTTGCTTTTTTGGTCACTTTTTCTGACACAATCTTTTTCTTAGTTTTTAATAATTCCTTTTTTTTTTTTTTTTGAGAAATGGCTGTTTGGTTTTGTCACCTAATAATATGTGGAGGATAAAAAAATTCAGTGTCTATTTCTTTTGTCAATAAACCAAATTTTTGATGTTTTGAAGGCCTTTTTTGTCTCTGCAACTTTTTCTCATTTGTAGTTTTTTTATTTTTAAGTATCATTTCCTTTTCAGGTTTAACTGGACTTTTTTCTACTTTCCAATAATACCTTTAATTATTGATTATTTTATTTGCTGCTTTTCTTTAGTGGCCAAACCTGTGCTACTGATTAAGTGCACTACTAAGGTGCAGATGTTGCTTGTATGCTTTCTCCCTTAAATATTTACTTCTAGTTCCAAAAAAGTGAATTCTTAAGGGCTTTAATTTTCGTGATAACAAACAGCAAAGTAGTTCAGTGACCTAGGAAGATTATCGAGTAAAGTAAATGAAGCTTTTTGAAGTAAAAATATGTGGACCCTCAGCATAGAGTGAGACAGATTGTCTCCTTCATTAACTTCTAACTGAAACAATTATTTTGAAGTTGATTTAGAAAAAAAATTGGCTACTTCTATAAGGAAAGAGGTAATAAAATAATTGTCAACTATGCACTAGGATTTTTGTCTGAAATACCTTTAAAATATCTATAAAAGTGAAGCTGAATTAATATGCTACATATTGTGTAATAAAAGATGATGTAAAACTCAGTATTTGCCAGTCAGTTGTAATTGGGACACAGAACCATGTTTTACTGCTTATCACATTGACTGAATAGGTAACTCCCCGAGGACAAACACTGTTGATTTTGAACATGATTTTTGCTTTTTTATTTGCTGTTTGAAATTGTTTGTTTGTATTTCCATAGCTAATTTTTGGTATGGTTGTCACTCATGAACAGATAAGCTGGAGGAGACTTGCAGAGCTACTGAACACTGTTGGTTATGAAAGGTGGCATCATTCTGTAATCCCTCCACTAACTTGAACAAGTTCTCTGTTAAAACTGTCATTACTGAAAAGCCTCTTGGCATTGTATGCATACAAAGTTCTGACTTAAATTTATCCATAGCTAGTATGGTTATTGCTGTATCAAAAATGTTCTGTAGCTTTTACAACTTCCCTGACTTGCCCATGTGTTTGTGGAAGGGCAGTCATAGCCCTTCTCTGCTTTGATACTTTAAATATGTTTATTTTAGTATTTGTTTAGGTTTTTTCTTGTATAATAGGCTCTCAGTTGTCTCAGGCATCCTAGTGTCATCTTTGTATGCTGTATTAAGATTTATCTTGAATGTTGTGACAAGAAATGTGTGCAGTCTTTGAAGGGAATTATGGCTCATGACTCTTGTAGTTCTGCTCATTCATGTCTCTACCTACTAAAATGACCTTCTTAATCTTGCATTCACCTTTTTCGTAAGCTGCACACATTTTTGTCTATTGCTTGATAAAGGATCAGATATACCCAGGTAAGCTCCATTTTATAACAGCAGGTCATGATTTCAGTTGATAAATAATGCTTTGAACTGGTTATCTTTATACTCATTTCACTTTCAATTAGGTAATTGGTTTCTTGCCATATTGCATTCTGATCTGCTTTTCTCTTACAATGACTTCTGGTATAAAATTAGGCAAATTTCAATAATTTGCTTCTTTCAGGGCCAAAAAACTTATCACGGGGTACCTAAGATAAGTCTCATAAGAATACCACTATTAAATTCTCTGTGATCCAGTGCTTTCCTTCCTTTTAGCAGGGTCTCTGCAGTATCTTCTTAATGTCATTTTATGCTCACAGTATAGTTATTGGATTGATGCTGATTTTATTTTCTAGGACAAGAACTTTAATTGGTTGTTAGAGTTCTCCTACTTTAGAGATAACATATATCTTTTTTGGAAAAAATCTCTGTGTTGTATTGATGGAGTGGATAATTTGATAATGCATTAAATTCTACTTCCTTTCATACTGTTTGTCTTCAACTGCTCTCCACTTTAAAATTTCTTGTATATCTTGCCCTATTAAACATCACAATAAGCTATGCATTATTTCCTGAAGCATTATGTCACTCATTCTTGAGTATAGGTGAATGTTCTACTTTTCATTCAAATATTGCCGTTTAAATTTGATAGGATTCTGGAAAAAAATTTAACCAGATCAGCAATTTTGCCATTTCCCCCCCTGCTTCTGTCAATTTCAGTACAATAAAGACTTTTATTTCTTGTTCTACCCAGAAGTAGGAATATATATTTTGCTGTGTTTGTTTCCTTTAGCCCTTTGGTTTCATCAAATTTTGAATTATCTCTAACATCTATGTAGTTTGCCAGGAAAATGGCATTTTTTTCGCTCTCTCTTAATATAGTCATTCAGAATTTACTTAGTCTTATGTGCTGTAACCTAGCTTGACTTTCAGCTTTTTTTGTTGAATAGCTGATGTTTCTACTCCACACTAATTTGGTTTTATTCATATTTTTTTTATCATAAAATTGTCCAGTTAGGTCAGAAGCCCCTATGCTATGAGGGTTTTGCCTCACTTGAGAATCCAGTTCCAGATAGCTTGTTAATCTTCAGTACCAACCTTCCTCTTCCATGAATTTGTTGGAGTGACTGGCTTGACTGATTGCTTTGTTTATAGGAGGCTGCTTGTTTGGATTGATTAGCCTTGCTTACAGACCTACTTCATTTAGTTTATACTAAAACAGCTGCATCAAAGATAAATTTTTCTGAACATCCATCCTATATAGTTCTCCCACTTTATCAAAGCCAAATTTTAGGAAACATATCTCATTGAGTTAGTGAATATTTAGTTGAAAGACAGTAAGTAGATTCAGTCCGTTGGTGGCAGCTTACAGCATAAATATTCAGTATATGAATTTCAAGTTATTTTGATTGGAACCCGAATTAATTAGCAAGTTTGTGCTCTTTGACTGAAGGCCTCATTTATCCTTTTAATGCAAATAGTCACTAATAAAGATTCAAAACCACTTTTATTCAGCATTGTGCATAAATAAAGTTTATTCCTCCATTAAAGTCACAGAATCAGAATCACAGAATCACAGAAAGGTAGGGGTTTGAAGGGACCTCTGTGGGTCATCTAGTCCAAACCCCCTGCCGAAGCAGGGGCGCCTACAGCAGGCTGCACAGGAACTTGTCCAGGCGGGTCTTGAATATCTCCAGACAAGGAGAATCCACAGCCTCCCTGGGCAGCCTGTTCCAGTGCTCCGTCACCCTCAGAGGGAAGAAGTTCTTCCTCATGTTCAGACGGAA